TCTCGGCTCCGTAGGTCATGACTGGTAGGACGCATTGATCGAACACCTTGGTCTTAAGGCATTGTGGCAAAGATGATTCGAGGATGTGACGCAGCTTTCCAAATGCTACCCAACCAAGCTGCACTCTTCTGGTGATTTCAGCCTCAAAGTTGTCTCTTCCCATCTGCAAAGTTTGCCCAAGGTACACGTATTTCTGGACAACTTCAAGGACTACACCTTCGACGGAGACCGGCTCGGGGATTATGTGTTGATTGAACATGACCTTCGTCTTATCCAAGTTCATCCCAAGTCCAACACGTCTCGAGGCAGAGTTAAGACTAGATAGCATTTTTTGACTAGATACAAATTAAAGTTAAAATTTTGAATTTGATAAAATATGGCCTACAACTCGTCATGGAATCTACATTAGCAAGTATTCTTATGCACCTTTTCTGAAGGATGAATAGTTTGTCGGCATCTGTACTGTTTCCCCAGAGAAGTACTCCATACCTAAGCCAAGCATTTCCATATGCAAAGTATGTAGAAGTTGCCGTTTTCAAATCTGTGGTTTTCTTAAGTTCAGAAAGTGCATATGAAAAACTTGAAAGTTTACTAGATACTTTTTTGATGTGTTTTTTCCAGTTCAAATTAATATCAATGTTCAAACCTAAAAGACAATATGAATTAACTGATTCTAACTTGTGATTTTCAAATGTGTAATCGATAGTAAGAGGTTGTTTTTAACAATTTTTAACACAAAGTGGTCTGGTCAATAACAGGCTACGCTACAGTATGCTACGTGAAAAATGTTTGCCATTGTAAAGCCCTCTATCTCTCATATCAAACGCTGGTTTTGCGAGATATAGTGTATTTGATTACCTTAGATTATCATCATTATCTGCCTTTGGTTCGTTGGACGACTTGGTGTTCTACTCGAAGAGCGAGAGATCATCTGCCTGCTCTTATCCCAAATCAGTTGGTGTCGGCGCAACATGTTTTGTAAGAGCACAAGATTATGTAGCGAAAGGATTTGGCTATGTTTTATGACCGGCCGCCTGCCTGACGTCAACTCTCTTTGGGAATGCTATTATAGGTGGTATCACCGCCACCATGACTTTGACCATAGTCGATAGATAATTCAGCCGAGTTCAAAAACTCTACGTCACCTTTTACGAAACACCCTGCGTGGAATAGGGGTTGGCATTATTCTTAGCCGCTAGCATACGGTTTAGCTACATAATATATTTAGATTTAAAAATCTTTTCAAATTCAAGGAGTAAGTTGTCGGAAGAGTTAGCGCGAAAATTGGAGCAACTGCAATAATGCTGCAGCTATGCTGCAATGTCAGTTATTGCAAACTTTAGAACGTTTTGCACTTTTGTGAGTCATATTCGTCATAGCAACCTCCTTGAAAAATTTCAAAGACATATTTCAAGTACAGAAGGTATTTTGAAAGAGTATTTTTCAGCCGTGTGGTGCTGGCTTACAATAGCATCACCCTATACATTTCCCGTGGGTGTCGTAAGCAATTGTTGCAACTTGAGGCGACAGGCTGACAATCTGACTCTATGGTGATTCACAGTCTTCCCAATGACTCCTAAACCTTGTCAAACGTAGAGTAAATGTTTTTTTTTTACAACCGTTTACGCTCTGCCTACCCCACAAGAGAAATAGGCGTGATATAATTATGTATGTATGTATTTTTCAGTATCTCAGAGGCCTCCTACTTGTAGTAGGTAGGCGGCCGGCTACTTGTTGTAGATGATTGAAGAACTCTGACAACAGGATTCATCGGACAGATGGACCACTCAGTCAAAATAGACTTTTGGCAAATATCAAACTACCACGTTTTGATATTTTCAAAGTAGACAAATCTACGAATTGTCAAAAACGACATTTCTAGCCGTAGCAGCGTAGTACTTTAGCATTTCCATTTAGGGGATCAGCCTGTGCTTCTATAAACTGTATTAGGAACCAGTCTAAGTTGATCCCTTAAAAAACAAGCTGCAGTGCTTCTGATATTACCTGTTCTATTAAAAGAGAACGTCCATTATTCCACAGAGCATTCACTTTGAAGTCTCCGCATCAAACGGCATTAAAAGATTTACGAGCAATATCTACCAGGAAAAGTAGGTTAACACGTACCTACTATGTGAACGGCCGTAAAATAGAACTTGAAAACATGCTCTAGTAGAAAAAAAAACCTTTTGTCTTATACACCGTGTCTTGGAGAAAAATGCATTTAAATGAAATTTTTCCTTATTTAGATGTTTTCACACCCGAAGGCACCCGTATGTATTTTATCTCTGTTTACCCTCTGGTTGGTCGATAGACAATGCCTCGTGGTATTAGGCCCGCCTTTTATCCTATGTGCAATAAAGTACATATAAAAATCGTGAATGTTTACTATTTTGAAGAAATTTTTCCACAAGATAGTATTTTTTGGAACACTTGGTGTTTTAATCAAACACTAGATATTGATATTAACTTTTTGGTTACAAAGTTAATACAAACGAAGCAAGCAGAAAAAATTCACACCGCCGGCGGGATTCGAACCCACGTCTTCTGACAAGCCGGGTCAGACGTGTTAAGCCGCTACACCACGGCGGGTTCTGCCCGAGGCGGCGAAATTGTGATCCACTTGCTTCGTTCATATTGCTTTGTCACTTGACTACTCACGGGTAGCTTGAGCGCCATCTATGACTTTGTAGTAGAACTATACAGTCACTCAACTGACAACATTACGTATGTACAAGTTGACGAGAGATGGAGCTTTTTCCGATTTGTGAATGTTTACTATTTTGAAGAAATTTTTCCACAAGATAGTATTTTTTGGAACACTTGGTGTTTTAATCAAACACTAGATATTGATATTAACTTTTTGGTTACAAAGTTAATACAAACGAAGCAAGCGGAACAAGCTCCATCTCTCGTCAACTTGTATGACTGAAATTATCGTTTTAATACCAAAAGGCTTCGTGTTTTTTCAAAAAGCGACAGCTGTATACAGACCTGGACACACCTCTTACCATGGCCGAACAGTCCCAGCACATGTACGCTTCAGGACCTGCTGGAAGCAAACCCAAAAGGAATACCTATCTCTCACCAAACGTTGGTCAAAAATTGTACATGGCGTAACAAAACGATATAACAAGCTGAAAGGAGGTGAAAGTACTCATGAAACTGATCAACTTTCCCCAAGGAACATGGGTCGAAAAATGAAAAAAGTTGGATCTCCCTTACCAAAATAAAGATCAACTTCAGATTTATTAAGGTATTTTTATTCATATTTCGATTCGTTCCATAGGGAAAGTTGTTCAGTTTCATGAGTACCTTGACCTATTTTCAGCTTGTTATACCCTTTTTGTTACTCCCTGTATAAAGTTTCTGTTGATTTGACGCAGAAGAAAGAGCAAATAATGGAAATCCTACACTCTTTGGAAATCACCTTCACATCTTAATGCGACGTAATGTGAATGAATTGCTTCCAATTCCACGGAAATTGAGACGAGCACGTCGTGAGCTCCATTTCCGGCGTTTTATTGTTTTTCTGTACGGGTCATGATTCAATACACGCGAAATTATAAATAATCTTCCAATGCAAAAAAAAAACTGAAATGGCAATGGGCAGGCCACGTTGCTCGAAGAACTGATAATCGGTGGAGCAGGAGAGTTCTCGAGTGGAGACCACGTACCGGCAGGCGCAGCGTAGGACGGCCCCTGCGAGATGGACAGACGATCTGGTCAAGTCCACGGGGAAATGCTGGATGCAGGCCGCTTCTAATCGGACAAGGTAAAAATAATTAGGGGAGGCCTATGTTCAGCAGTGGCCGTCCTATGGCTGATATGATGATGATGATGGAGAGCAAAGTTTATAATATTATGTATAGCTTAAGTCGAGAAAATGCCCCGAAAACCCAATCGTACTCGACGAACGACTCGATGAAGCGGACTTACAAAACCAATATCTCTGCAAAACCATAATCTGTCACAGGAGATTGAAATTCGCTTTTGATGGTATTAGTGCTGCGTAATGCTCGTTCATCAGTAATCAAATCACATTGGTTTATCCTACGGCGCTAAAAGCAAGCTTGTTACTATACCTCTAGAATAATAAGTAAGCAAGTAAAAACACTCTTAGCAACACCACATACACTTCACAGCAGCATATTAAGTAGATCTCAAAAACAGAAACAGTATTTTTGGAAATCCACCGTAGGCAGGATTTAAACCTGCGACTTTCGGAAGCTGGTAGAGCACAGATGCCGAAAGACGCAGGTTCAAGTCTTACCTGCAGTCGAATTATGCCACATTTCCAAAAAGCGTGAAACTAATGACGGTTTTGGTATTCTGAAAGGGTACCTAATTTCCGCTAACACTCTGATGAGACTTTCTACTATTAATTTTTTTTTCAAGCTTATGTATGTGTGAATGTATTTATGTTAGTCAAACGTATGTTACAAGCACGACTATACCTAGTTGAGAATACCATTTGTGGCATTACCACTTGGTAGTAAACTCAAGAGAGAAAGAGAGCGCCAGAATATGGATGCAAATGCAGCGAGTGGTCTTCGCGACTATAGTATCAGATTTTCACATACGGAAGTTCTAAAATATCATCTACTTTCAGATTTTTGAGACTGCCCAACTAGTTACTAAAAAAGTATCTTTAAGGTCGTGGTTATGCACCGACTGTAATTTTAGACTGTAACTGGATTTGGGGTTGATGCTATTTTAAGCCAGCATCACATAGCAACGTTTCTGTATCTGGGTCTTTTTTTCATTCAATACGGCCAGGCAACAAATCAATCGGCTATATACGGGGTCACACGTGAGCAAATACTTTAGCGGCGTGACCCCACTGCTATGGGCAATAAACACCCCTTAAACTATACAGGGTCCCAGGAACTGTTGGCATAGTAGTCTTTCACGGTGAGTGTTGAAACATTTCGCAATCAAATCAAAATTGATTATTCACGGAAATTCTCATACATGAAAATACGAAATTGAAAAAAATATCATGCATCGATCGAGGCTCGAACCCGGGCGCATGGGTCAACGCCTTAGCGCTCTGCCACTGAGCTTTCGATGCACCGGTAGATGCCTGCTAAATTTTTTGTTCCGTTGATGCTCGTCTTCAGACGACGATTTCTCTAGAAGCTCGTTTTCATTTTTGAGAAGCACTGTGAGTGCATTAAAACTACGAATAGGTACAAAGTTATTTACGTAATATACCTAGAAGAAGCAGTCTTCAAAGCAGAAGGATTGAATCTCATAGCGTATACAGTAGGTATGTAAAAAAACTGCATATCAAGGAGAAAACCAGCCTATGCTAAAGCCTATGTACCTCATTTCAAAAATTCAGAAACAACGAGTAGCATTCCTAGAGTGTAAGTATAAATTATCGAAACAGGGGTAAATCTGTCCGTCTGTTGTCTAATCTGTTGAAAGACCCTGTATAGGAAAGGCCAGCGGCTATAAATCAGGACGCCTCCTAATAAAGATCTTCTTCAAATTGCGGAATGTGTTACATACGATGAAGGGCTATTTTATTCAGGAATGTTATTTCCGTCTTTTGCTCTCACTTTGTGTGGGACACCGAGTCGTCCAACGACCCGATGAACCCTGGTGTAAGATATTTGCTATTCTTATCGTCCTTATATTTGTGATTTATGTTGATTTTCTGGTCGATGTTGTAATGGTGGTCGTTTGTTGAAACAGTTTTAAAGCGGGTTTAGTGTTGGATGGTGAGATAACAATAGAATATCGATATTTAAGAAGAATGCTCGGAAAGATATCATCGCTGTTAACAGATGTTATCGATAATGTGACAGTTTTTTATTTTTTTCCATAAAAATATACTCTTGCTGCTTTACTAAACCGGTCGCTCATTTGTGCCCGTCTTTGGCAACTACCGGTACATACCGGGTAGACATAGTCCCATCCGTGCTTCCCAGAACAACTCGTAAGCGCAGTCTCGCCCCAAGGGCATGATTGGGCTGGTTGTTTGAACAACCACCCACACACACTTCCGGGTGAGCCTTCTGCTCCCCACCAGAAAGTTTGGTGTAGATTTAATAGCCCCGTAATAGGCTGAAATCGTAGGGTCAGTTATGAAAAAAAAGCTGCTTCTCTAAATCTGTGTCAGTCACACGATCGTTTAGTTTGTAGTTATGTACACAAAAAGAAACTTTATGAAAAGAAACTTAGTAAAAATAGAACTATTACTTAGGCTTTTTAATTAAGCTAACTCTATTAACAAATCTTATAATATAAAGAAGGGGAAACATACTACTTTTTGAAAACGGATATCGATAGCCAATCTATTAAATGTAACATGGCAGGACTATTGGATTCTCGATGGAGGAATTTGCTGCAGTCAATCAAGTGCTTTTCAGTGCTAAACTCGTCGAATTTGAAGTTGAAAAAGTGTGAATGTGCAACAGCTTTTTTCCAAAAATACCTACGGCTCGTAGCAAAGAGCTACGAGCTTTCTTTCTTCTATCTTTTCGTGTGGAACACCAAGTCGTCCAATGACCTAATGAACCCTGACGCAAAATTTTCTACCGATTCCTGTAAGTAGCAGGCTTCTGACGTGATGTGTTACAACCACCGTTTAAGTTATCATAAACAACAACCGGGACCGATAGTTTAATGTGCCCTCCGAAGTACGGATCCATTTTTCTTGTCGAACAATCAGGTGGTTCAGCCTGCAATGTCCTAACCGGACTGAAAACAAATTCACATAGTGAAAAATATCAAGTTCGTGAATGTTTCATCGAGAATCGAACCCGAAAACTTTGCGCACACTACCACTGCGCCACATCGGTTGCCTGCTTTGATGAAGTACCGAAACACGTCCTACGGCAGTTCTTGATATTTTGTCAAGCGAACTCGAACGCAAAAATGATGTTGTGCGTGCGCACGAAAAATATTTCCTATATTTATTGACTTGGTGAATACGACACGTAGTCAGTTTATTTACAGCTAAACTAACTTATATTCAAGAGACAGTGATACCTACTAAGGACCTTCGCAGACTGAGGGCAGTTTTACGCTTACATAAACTAAAAAATGGTTATATTCTGGAAAAATGAGTGTATTCATAGTGTGTTTTAAAATATTCATAATTTACCTGTGTCCCGACGTTACAACACAGTTTCATGTGTGTGGTTTAATACTTAAAATGTGGGAAAACAATCGCGAATGCTTAAAATGTCATAGTGTCTTTTTCTCGTATTTTATTGATATAGCCATACTTTGTTACAAAAAGGTATCGAAAAGTTGAACAGTTTCTACATAAAGGTTAGTATTAAGTTATAATAATTGTACAAAATTAGGTATAACGTTACGTAGAACTTTGATTGAGTTTTTCATAGCCTGCACAAAGATGTGATCTGATTGGTCGGCGAGCACGATAGATTTCGATTTCTTGGACGTTGTTCACCGCTTGATTGCTTAAAGGATTTCATGCTGCAAGGAACACGTAAAGTCGACTTTGGTCTGGTACGCCAGCCAATACCAATTTTATTTCAATCACGTCCTAGTTCATTTGCTATCAATGCTTGTATTTAAAGCTAATCTAGCTGAAACGAGCGCTGAATTAATTAAAGCATGGCCATTTCCAGTCTGCAACGACCCTTATAGTTCAACTCACGTCAAAACTTTACCAAAACCCGATATTTTTTAAAGCAAAATATCTGTCATCTGTGTGCTATCTCACTTGTTGGTAAGTGATGTTGTAATGATGCAGACGATTTTAGAACATACTTATTTAGTGCCTATTCACTCTTGCCTTGGAAAAGCTCAAGTTATAATGTTCCGGAAACAGATCCACCGGCAGGGAATTCCACTCCTTAGCCGTTCGCATGATGTTAGTTGACAGAAAGAGAGGTATTTCAGCGACATAAGGGTAGAATCTCCGTCGCCGCGAGCCCCGGAGAATATCCGCCTAGAGCTTGCATAAAGCACGCTTGAATGACGCGTAAAACACGCGTAAAGCACAACAAGGAACTGTCCAGAACAACGTTATAAAATATAGATGGCGCCCTATACATGCTTAGGTTTTACTATAATGTTATGAATGTTATCTCTTTGATCGAACCGTTTTATACTTTTCAGTATGCAACAAAGGTATGCAAGTAAAAGTTTGAACCTTTATTTTATTATCTGTGGTTTGAATTATGCATGTAGAGAGCGCCATCTATGTATATTCTCTCACAATAACGTGGCCCAAGACAGTTCCTCATTGAGTCATTTATAAAGCACGCGTAGAGCCTTCGTAGAGCACGCGTAGAGCCTTCGTAGAGACCGCGTAGACCATGCGTAGCTCTTTCAGTCTACGACGACCCTCAATCACACAGGTCACGTCGCAACTCTAACCACGTACCGAGTTATTTCAAACAAAACTTGTATCGGGCTTAGCGGAAAAAATCTTGTTCAGAAACTGATAAAAGTATACCGCAGTTTTAGAACTTTCTTTTTAGTCATAGTTGGTCGGTTTGGTAGGACAAAAGAATTCATTCAAGTAAGAAATGCCGGTAGGTTTTTGAATTTTTCATCATCTACATATTGGAATTTGTCCTGTCTTTTTGAACCCATATTGCATCCAACGGCTGCTCGCATTCTGCCCTCCTCTGCAACAAAGTCATCACACATTTCGTGCGAATGTAATCAATCATAATGCCTATTTGGTAGCTATTTATTGACTTTTGTAGATGAGCTACTAACTCACTATCTAGCCTATACACGGTGAAATTATTTTACTCGTGACCGATATCGAAAAGTAAAAACCAGCTAGTGATAAGAAAGAATTTTCTATAATACAAAATTGCCAATCAGCTGATTATAGCAAGTAGGTTCAAGTTTCTTTTTCATATTTCGACCTATGTTCCTGGAAAGTTGTTTCTTATCGGAGGGCGTTCAACGCTACGCTTGCCGAGGTGTGTTGTGTCCTTTCTTAAATGAATAGTGCCAATTGAAAAGTAACGATAAGTAAAGAAAGCTTACCCTGTAATGGGTAAAAGTGGTTAATCGTAGAGGACGAAACTTGCAAGACACACGTGAAACTGATGCGTCGCAGATTTGCATTCATAGTACACCTATCCTAAAAGGTTGTCGTATGGACACTTCCATACCAGATGATCCGAAATGAAAGTGAAACAAACTTTTACCATCGGTACTTTGGCACTCAACGTTTCAACTTAAATAGGTACTGACTAAGTAACTATAAGGTCCTATTCAATTCACTGCAAATATTTTAGGGGCAGATCAAATGAAATAAAAGCATGTAGGTACAGACGCTGATAGCAGTTACCTGACCCCCAACGATTTAAAACAAACATTCGAATATGGCCTTTATTTCTCAGTAGTTCAATTGGCAGTTAGATTCTGTTTATCCGTTCCGACACAGAAATGCTCAAGTCAGACTTGATGAAAAAGAAAAAAGCAATAGCTTGTTTTTGATTTACGCTGAGATTTGAACTCGAGTCCTCAGGTGTCACGAGCGCTCAGCAGGCCGCTAGGCCAATTGACCTGACGTATGGGGTCGTGAATTTTTGCATAGCGTTCTTCCCCGACTTATTTTGCGTCTCAAGTAATGTTTCAATGATGTGGGTATATTCAGAGTTTTTGATGCGTTAAGACTACTTTAGCTATTAAACCAGACTGAATACCGTGCACTGTCCGGCATACATTGCTGGTTATCTTTACAATAAACTCACTCCGGACACAGATTAACGAATAGTTAAGATAACCAGCCAGCAATGTATGCAGGACCTATAGTGTAATAGTTACTTTTAAAAACGATAAACTAAAATGATCAGTCTACGTTTCGACAGTGACTACTTGAGCTGTATTTTTCATTTACTTACCTATTATTCAAATTCTAATTATTCTAACTGTTTATTGGTTTAAATTCTAAATCATGTCGCGTTTGACCGATTATCAAAAATATAAGATTATATTTTTGTATGAAGATAATACTCCCATCAAAAGATTGCTCGTGAGCTCAATATAGCGGTAAGTAGTTTCTAATTATGAAAACCGTTATTTATCATTCATTATCATATTCTTTGTTTGCTATTGTGATCT